AGGCTTCCTTGAAGACTCCCATTACCAGGAGGGCAACTGGCTGCTGGGGAGGTGGGGAGGGCCCTGGAAAGGGGCGGGAGGCTTCCACTGGCACTGCTGTCCTGGGCAGCAGGGCACGTCCATGGGGCTCAGCCCAACTTGGCCACCCCCAGGAGCACCTTGGTGCAGCTGCCGAGGTCCCTGGCACCTGGGAAGGAGTGCCCGGCCTGGGTCCAGGGTTGGTGTGCTGACAATGACCACAGCTTGCAGAGGGATGAACAGTGTCCAGGAACAGGTGGCCATAGCGCCCCTGTTGTGAGTTGAGAGACACTGGAACAAGGGACCATTTTCCACCCTGACATGTGCAGACGTGTCCTAGATAGGCAGTGGCCTTCCTGACCTCAAGAGAAAGAGAAAAAACATCTCCTAGGAATGCCAGCAGGAGCTGCCTTCACACTCACGCCCTGAGAGTGCACAGTGATGGAAAGTGTGTCCCGAGCACCTTGCATGCGCTCAGCTGACCCTGAGGGCAGCACATAGCAGTGCATCGTATGGACCACCTCATGTGCATCTGGGGGGTGGCAGGCAGCAGGGGGGACACCTAGTGATGACCTCCTGTCAAGCTGTACAGGAAGGTTCTGCTCCAACGACAAGGCCCTGTGGTGAATCCTGGAGGTGCCCTGTGAGTCAGCCGTCCCTACTGTGGGCTTCAAACTCTAGCTTAAAAACTTTACTGACACAATACAAAGGCCTCTTTTATGTGCTATGAGGCTGTGGGACTTTACAAATAATAGGAGTGAAAAGTGATTTATATCCAGGATTAAAGGTCAGCTCTGCATGCCGGACTCTGGAGTATGACAACAGTGTAAACTTGTTTGCACTCATTCATGTACCCTGGGGGTAGGGGAGGAACAGAGAAAAGCTGCTCAGGCACGGAGCAGCTCCAGAGGGGCTGCAGGCAGGACCCACTGTGGGCAGAGGGACCCAGTGAGGCTAGGACACTTCTGACACTTAGCAACCAAAATACACAGTCTTCTTAACAGTGAGTCACCGACTTGTGCAGTGACGGCTGCTTTATGTGAGTGACGTGTCCAATACAAAGGAATTTAAGGAATAAATTTGTGTAATCAAAGTACACCAAAGTTAAAAAGTTCAAATTTGATTAATCTGTATTGTCGACACTGAGAAAGAAGATATCTACTAAGAAGGGCTCCTGGTGGGCTCAAATAAAAACAAAACAAACAAAACAAAACAACAGAGCCTAGCAGCCATTTCTACACAGGGGCCTCTCACGCAAACTGCACTTCACGAGCTGCCTGCACTGAATTGCCTGCCTGCCCCGGGTTTCAGCCCTCTGAGCCAGCCCCTACAAAGGAGTCCCTGGAATCCTATTTCAACCAATAGGACTGAGGCTTTTCCCAATCCAGTTGGAACTGTGCAGCTCCAACCAACCAGAGCAGCTCTATCCTGACCAATCAGGATAGTGCCTTTTGGACCAATCAAACTTTGAAAACTTGGAATCCTCATTTGCATGAGGACAGAACAATTAGGGATCAGGGGCGGGTACTTCCATCCGTATAAGCCAACTCCCCTTTGGGACTCCAGGAGCACACTTGCCCTTTCCACCCAAGACTGAAGACTGCATTTCCCTGGCTGAGCTGAAATCAAAGATGTCTCCGCACAGCAGGGTAGACCAGCACAGGCCAGAGCAGAGGGGAGTAGTGAGGAGCCGAGCTATCTAGTCGAAGGAAGAGGGGCCCGGCCCCAGGGCTGCCTCACAGCCATGCTGTGTTCACAGCTATGACGTATCACACTGAAGCGGTTCCGTCTTCAGCACATCCCAAACTGTGGATTCCCGCTGGTGCTGAACTGGCACCAATGGCCGCAGGTTGACAGTATAGACTGGTCCACAAAGAAACACCAGTTTGCTGTTAAGAGCATTTTCTTAGTGTTCCAAGTGGAATGTTGCATATTTTAAAGGTAATTGGACAGAACATAAAACTGCTATCAAGTAAGCTATATTTATTTTTCTTCCTTTCCTTTAGTGTCTGACAGCTGAGGTGCGCCCGTGGGCACTTCTTGTGGGTGGTTTCACTGAGTATGGGAGCGGAGCCCGTTGGTGCGTGGATGGAGGCTTCAGAGCTTTTTCCTGCCTTGGATGTGTCAGGGACACTGGCTTCGTGTGGCTGCAGGCCCCACCAGCGCCAGATCCTGGGGACTGCGCTCAGTGGTGGAGCGTTGTGCCAACGCTGCCTGCCTTTTCTCTGGCTGTGCCTGATGATCTGTGTCCGAAAGACACTTGCCCAGTGTTGCTTCTGGCTTGACCAACTGAGCTCACCACCAACCAGCTCACAGCTGCGAGCAGACGGGAAGGCAAGGGGCTGTGTGGGTGGCTGCATGGGCGCATGGGCCCTTCAGGCCAAGGACGACTGGCAGGGCGGGCCTCTCCTACCCAGCCGCGCATGGGCTCCTGGACCTGTGCAGTGAAACGCGATGGCAATGCTGTTCGTCTCGCCCTCTGTGCTGCGGAAGACATCATGGAGGAGTGTCACCGGGCTCCTGCCACGTGCTCTAGGTCTCCCAACACAACAGGCAGGGACAGTATATCCCTGACCTGACGCCTTGTCCACGTGGTGAGGATGCAGAAAGACGGCACAAGGGCCTCAGGCCTCACACAGCAATCACGTCACGAGGACGTGAGCTGTGTCCAAGAGGCAGGAGGGTGGGCTGATGCCTCTCCCACCAGCCCTCCACCCACTGGCTGGGTCAGGGTGAGTGGGGCTCAGCTGCCATTCCCTCGCGGGTCAGGACGCTCGGGAGAACTCACACGACCCCAAGCACCAGACGTGCCAGGCTCAGCTCCGTGAGCTCCTGACATCCTAGGCCTTCACCGGGCCTCGCTGCGGTAACACCATGCAAAAGGGCATCCCCAGTAACAGCCACATTCGAGGAGAAACAGAGGCAATGATGAGAGTGGAAAGGAGCCTGAGCTCTTGTCTCACTGGGAGCCTCTCCCTGCTGCCCAGGCTGCTCCCGACACCCCCACCACCGTGGCCGCCTCCCACAGTGGGTCCCTCTCATGAGGCTCCCCCAGAGGAGCTATGCCAGTGAACAAGGCACCCTCTATTGTCACACAGGCCCCACCATTACCTGGAGCCCCACTGCCACTGGCCATGGACTGGAGGAGTCCAGGTCACAGAGGACAGGCCATGAGGCCCAGCCACCCTTGCCCCAGGGGCATAGACAACTTCAAAGGGATGAATCGAATGGTTTGTTGTCAGCAAACAGCATGGCCTGGCCCCTAAGGAGACATCAGTCAGTGCCCTCACTCCAAACCGGCTTACGAGGCAGGTGGTGAAACAAGATCCGGCTGAGGAAAGGCTTCCGAGGCTACAGCGAGTTGGGAGGTGTAGTCCCTCCAAAGGGCCTGACCCGGGAGCTGCGGCCGGCACTCTCTGTGACGGCAGCACTGAGCAAGCAGGGCCTCAGAGCGCCACTCCATCTGGCCCTGGACCCAACGCGAGCGGTGGCCATCACGTTCCCGGTGCTCAACGAGCCACAACTTGGGCTGTCCTAGAATGTCGATTCTGAGTGGTCTGAGCTCACATACACCGATGTCACAGCCGGCAGGCTGTCCCCAGGACTTGGTTCACAAGCTAGAGCTATGGTAGTCACATTCCATCGCCTGCCCAATCCCAGGCAGGCCTGTGGGGAAGACAAGCTCTGCCCTGGCGTATGGCTGGGGACACCCACCCAGCCCTGCCCTCCACTCCCCAAGTCCGCTTCCACTGTCCTAACACAGAAGTCCTGCAGCTGCCTCCATGTTGGCCAGAGGGTTACATGCGCAGTGAGCATGGGTATTTGCACCCCCGGGACTGATAGGCACAGCCTGTTCACGAGGCTCTGACGCCCTTCAAGGGGTCAGGGGGACACACATGGTCTTCACACTTCGGGTCAGTGTTAACATGGTGGCTGAGGGGGCTGGCAGGCCCAGGACAGAGCAAGGGCCCTTGGGCCAGACCATGGGGAGCCACACTCCCTCCTGCCAAGCCAGAAACATTTCCTCTCAGGTACTTTTTGAAAGGTCAGCTCTAGGACCAGGGGTGGGCCACATGCGTCCTTGGGTAGGAGGAAAGGCCACTCTGAGGCACACTAGGTGAGACGTGGAGTGATCTCTACACCATGAAATAAAGCCTGACCTCCTAAATGCAGCACACAGGGGACACCTCCATCCCGGGCTGCTTACCAGATGACACAGCCCAGAATAACACAGTCACAGCAAGAAGCAGGCATTACCCCGTCCCCAGGACTGAACCCACTGGGGACGGAAAGCCGCAGAAGGCCTGAGATTGTCTGCAAGCCGCCTTTCAGAGAAAAGCAGATGAATACCACTTTCCCGTGTTTGGGCCATAGCGACAAACAGGGAACATGGGAGAAAACATTCTGTCTGATGGCCGGTGCTCCAGACACATCAAGGTTTTCGCTGCCAACAAGAGCGATGTGAGTCCAATGTGAGAACGGACACCCAACAGGCATGTACTCTGTACGCGATGAGCCAACATTACTGAGAAGACGAAAGGTATTTCGATGCCAAGTGCCCTCAAATTAATTCCTAAGGAAAAACGATCCCAGCCCCCCGTGCAGAGGCCTCAGTCAGTAGAGACAGGAATGTCTAGAGGGGCTGCACCAGGGCCTGGTCCTGTGGTGGGTGGAGCATGTCCAAAACCCCGGGCCAAGGTGGGGAGGGGCCTGGGGGTCCGAACACAGTATGACTAGGGCCTGTCCTCCAGGAAGCTGAGACATGCCTGTACCCCCATTCACCGAGGCTGGGGCTGGGCAGGACTGTGCACAGCAGCAGAGGAACGTGTTGCCCGTAACCAGATGTTCCAGACCCACAACCGTGGTGGCCAGATGCCCCATTCTGCCAGCCTCAGCAAGTGGGACCCTGCCTCTCAGAGAAAGGAAGCAGGAAGGGGTGTCCAGTGGGCTGAAAGTTGTGTCAACATGTCACCGCTCCTCACCTCGTAGTGGAAGTCCATGCAGGTGAGGTCTCTCCAGCACTGGTCTCCCCGGACCTTGATCAGACCCTGCCAAGGCAAGGAGAGGAAGCAACATGAATCAATTCCCCAGAACGGCAAGGACCCCTGGTGACAGGGGAACCACTACTGGGGGAAGAACCTAACCTAAAAGGAACTTTAAGGGAGCCACAAATTTCATCTTACTCCTGAAGTGATATAAAGGGTAAGATTTAAAGAAAGCTTCACAAAGGCTCTAATGACGACAAGTCAGCAAATGCTATAGGCAAAAGGACGCTGGGTTCTGTTATAGCCGGTTCCTTCTGTGCTTTCTTTATAACTCAGTTGTCAGACTGTGAGCATCAGCACAGTGATGCAATTGGAAGGCTTAAAAAATGGACAAGTTTGCAAAGCTACATACACCCAACCTTAGTCACACGTCTACAGATGCCAAGGAGGATGTGAAAGGGACAATGCTGTAATTGCTGTGATGACACACTATTCAGCAGCTCAGGTGGGCTGGATGAATACGTCCACCCGTCTCCCCGAAGGGTCACTGCTGTTTCACGGTCCCCAGGACTCCCCGGTGCCCAGGCCTGGGAGTGCCTCCAGGGGGCTGCTTTGCTGCCTGGTCCACTGGGCAAGTGGCTTCAGGGAGAAGGGACTCTGTTAACAGCCTGTGGTCGAGCTTCAGGGTGCTGGCTACCCACCCCAGCACCGTCGGCTCCCCCGCACCCTGTGCGGCTTCCAGGACGCCATGCAACGCCCACATCATGGTGGGTCTGCAGTTGCAGGGAGGACCGTCAGCTCACATGCCTGCCCCTTCCCCCCTAACAATCCTCTTTCTCTCCACGATTCCTTCCTAAGTCAGAAACCAATTGTTCTCCTACCAGGAATAAAAACATTGCCTGAGATGCAGAGATTCAATTCCAATTTCAGTCTCTTATGTAATAGCTGGATTAGAAAGTGAGAAAGAAACTACGCCGATAAAGACACAACCCTGGAATGCAACTCAGCTTTCTCCTGTGATGGTGGTCTCTGCAGTTATGACCTCAGTTTCACCCAGTAGTGGTTCCATCCATCCATCCATCCATCCATGCGCCACCCAGGCTGCCCAGGACAGTATTCTGCACTAAAGATGACTGACCCTAAATTTGAATCACGTCTGTGAAACACCCTGGTTGCGGCGCTGAGATCAGTGTTTGACTGCATACCTGGGGGCAGTGGACAAGACTGGCTGGTGCATAAACCTGACCTTTACACGTGGGAAAGACTCTGGGGCAGCTGAGGGCTTGGAGCCAGAGACCAGGGTGTGAGCTGATGGGTCCTCTGGTGGCCATGCGGCCAGCAAGGCAGAATGACGGTTTGGGAGGTGGGACGTGTCCCATTCTGGACACGTCTGAAACATGGAGGATGCAGGACAGGCAGAGGGACTGGAGCTAGTGTGGGTGGAGAGCAGTCAAGACCTCTGACCTGGACCCCTGTGGGTGGTACGGACTCAGGGACCTCAAAAGGATCAGGGAGGAGAAATGTGGAGGGGGTTGTGGGGGCCACACAGGCCTCACACCTTGGTGGAGCTGAACCCACCTGGCCTTCAGCTGCACCTGCTGCCTCTAATGTCATGGAGCTATGGCACCAGCTATGCTTCAAGGATAAGGATGAATGAACCACTTTGTAAAGCAGAGTCACATCTTTCTGGAAACTGGGTTTGCTTACATCACAAAGTGCCAGAGACAACTTCCAGTCTGAATTTGGCCATATACAGTCATGTCTGCGTGAAAACAGAGCTTCAGAAAGTCAAAAGTGCCCGATGACCTAGACCTCAGTGAGCCCGTCCTGCCTGTGGCAGAGCTGCTGGTTTCCGACGAAAATGTGCCCCTCGTCGTGCAGAGAACCTTAGCCATGAGGTCACACGAGGCTCCCTCGTGAGCAGGGCTCCGCTCCCTGCACCCCTTCAGAATCTGAGAATGGTACTCTTTGGAGATTCAAACCAGGCGAAGAAGAAAAAAAACAAAATAATTAAAATGTCATTCAAACTCTAAGCTGATATAAGACACTTAAAAATCTGAGACATTCTTTCAGGAGCGGAGGATAATTATATTCCTCCCCATCTACTGATTTCTCCCTACAATGCAGATGTCAGATTTTCCACAGATTTTTTTTTTCTTTCAGAGTAAGTGTCAAAGGAACAAAGCCTTCTTTGAGACTTTTTTCAGCCCAAAATTAATTCTGAAAGAAAAAAAAAACGGCACAGATAAGCCACTAACATGCAGACCCAAAGAGAGCTAAGTGACCCACAGCTGTCCATACAACCCCTGCTCTCCGCCTGGGACCGGAACGCCAGGATGCTGGAACTTTCCGGAGAGGCCCAGGCCATACAGGCAGTGGGCGGGAGGCAGGAGCATAGAGGCGGGAGCCTGAGGGCTGCAGATGGGCTCCTCTCTGAAGCTCAAGGGTGTGAGAACACTCATCTTAAAAACTCCCATTCAGAAACGGGAAATTCCAAGGCCTCACACCACAGAACATCTATTTCTGTAAGGCTGCACGAGTCCCTTCACACCTGAAGGGGGCGGGGGGGTCAGCACTACCAGGCCTGCAGTGAAGCCAGGGGCGACAGCACACGGACGCCAGGGAGGCAACCCCCCTCACGTCACGAGCACCTGTGCACCACGGACAGCTCTGCCTGCACTGCCTCATTTTGAACATACACCTGTTCTATCATCATTGGGGGCCCCGCCTGCTCCTTCTCCACAGAGGGGACGCCTCATAGACCCTGGAGCCCTGAGCACTAATGAGCGGCTCACAAGTGTAGAGGGACAGGCCATTGCTCTCATGAGCAGACGCGGTGTCTGGTGTGCCTCTCAGGGGCGATGGGGAGGTTGGGCCAGCGGGGGCCAAGACACCGTGGATTCTGCCCTGACCCAAGTAGCATGCCACTTCTCTCTATGGGAGCTGGGCTGGGCCCACAGCGTCCCATGTGCACCTTTAACAGGTGAGGGTACCCCATGTCTCAGGGCATGTGGTCACTGCTGCATTTGAGCGGCACTGCTTAGCATGCCGTATGTTATGTTAGCAATCACAATGACTGAGCTGTCTCTGTATTTGAAGGGCCCCCGCCAACTAGTGTCATCACCTGGCCCCACCTCTTACTCTCTGGCGTCAGTTTGGTGGTGTCGGTGCTTTCTGACCCCAAGGTGAATAAGATAAAAATGGACCATCTACACCCACGACGGCACCCACTCGGACTGCAACGTGTGGTGGGGGGGATAAATCACTGCAGTCATATTTCGTGTTTTATTCTGCCTTCTCTCAAATCCTGGAGACCCTCTGAAAATTGCCATCGTGACACCTGCCTGTGACAGACAGACTGTGAAACGGGGCTGCATGGAGTGGGTGGAAGAAATTGTTGCAGGTCCTTGGAAGCATTTAGGACTCTGCAACTTTCTAGACCACCAGGAGCTGAGTGGCTGTCTTCCTCCTGAGGGCAGTTCTGAGACAAGAGGCTGGAAATGGAGACACAAAGACGGTGCTGAGGAGGGAAGCCTGGAGCCTGTGTGAGCAGGGGGAGGGTGGGGGGGGTTGGGGGGCGGGGAGGTGCTGCAGCTGGGGGCCATAGGTCAGAACGTTGCAGACATGTTTCCCAGAAATTCCCATGCTGCCCCCAGGCTGGAGTCCGAGGTCTGCTCTCCCGAGTGCTCCTGCAGGAAGGAAGAAAGCCCCTTTCTTCAGCTCTGCCCACACTAATGCAATAAAACAAATTGGGATAATTGCTCTCCTTGGGGAGTGGGGATCCCAGGACGGGTCAGGCTGGCCAAGGAAATGACAGCGACATCCGCTTGATTTGAGTCTTCATGGGGCATGTTGCATTCTGACACTTATTTCATTACATGTAATACGATTTTACTGGAGGTAATGTGATTCCAAGAAAGAGCTCCTGATTTCAAACTCTTATTTCTCCTTTAGTGACTTAGCTCCTTATTTTCTTTGCTAAACTTTCAGTGCCTCCTGGGGCTGGAGCATCTCTGGGACATGCATAAGTGGGGCATGCTAACAAGCAAAGAGCTTAAGATCACTCTGGGTCACCCGTTCCAATCAGTCCCTGGGCCTCCATGGGGGAAGAGCAGAAATCCAAGTGCAGACTTGTTGAGCTTCTGGGTTAAAGCGTCATCTCAGCTGGAAAATTTCCTTCCCATCAGATGGAGGCTTGAACCTCAGGGTAGGAGCTGTGGAACCGATGGCCAGCCTGAGATCCAGGTGTGGCTTGGACACTGAAGCAGCAAGCAGCTATGGCCCCAAGCAGACACGGATGAGCATGTACTCACTGCCACTCTGCCAGCAGGTATCAGAGCCTCCCTTAGTCCCAGCAAAAACCTGAACAGAGCTGGCTCCTGACTGCGTCCCAAACATGACCCCTGTTGAGGAGAATGTCAGCAGTCTGTGCAGCTGCCCTTCTCTCCAGTGCTGGGATGCCCACAAGGCTCTCCCAACAACAGTATGACCAAGTCCCTCATTATCCCCAAGGTGTGTGGAGTTTATGGGGCTGCACCTCACAGTGATCGTTCCATGTGAAAAGCAAACTCATGCTGGTCTCTGAAGTCTGAGGGTTGAGCTTCAGTTTACACAAAAGAAAATGCAAACCTTTAAGTACTCAGTTCAATGTGTTCTGGCTGCTGTATACAATCAGATATCTAGTACCTTAAGCAAGATACAGATTTCAGTCCCATAGAATGTTCTCTGGAACCCCCTTCCAGGCAATTCCACGCCCTACTGGTCAGAAAGCTGTGCGACCAGGCCCAGCTCTGCCTGCTCTGGGATCCCACACAGATTAACTCGGGCCCAGGTGCTCTTCCCCTGGGTTCCGACAGGTCATGATGAGCATGCCTCACGGTTCACCTGTGTTGCTACAGCAGAAGTTGGTTCCCTTCTACAGTGGCCCATAGTGTGCATGCATCACAATTTATCCATCCTGCTGATGGACATTTGGTTGTTTCCCAGGACTGGCAGTTACAAATAGGGCCACCATGGATGTGTGTGACCTTTGTGGACGCAGATTTTCATTTCTTGTGGGCAAA